ATGGGGCGCAATGGAGGAGGGGCGACCACGACGACGGAGGCGCGACGAACGTGGCGGTGGAGACGCGACGAGGGAGGCGCGAGCAGTGGTGGAGATTTCACCAGTAAAATGAGGTCTGTTGATAGAGGCACCCTAAGCAAAGGTTTGATGTTGCCCCACCATTTGAATTACTATCAAAGCAACCTCTGATACCAATTATTAGAGTGGCGCAACAGAATCTTTAGCGTGAACAATAAACCAAAATGGGGGTGAATTGGTTTTTTATCGCAAACATATGCATTTAATAATATTTTCTCAAATAAAACTTACTTAGCACATAAATAAAACAATTATAAAGAGTAAGGGAAGAGAGAAAATTGCATAGATAATTTTATACTGGGTCAGATCACAAGGATCCTACGTCCAATTGCTAATCCCAAATAGAGATTAACGTTCCCCTATCATAAAACCAATAAACTATTATAATCACACAAAAAGACAAGTTTAAGGGTTTAGAAAACACCTACTTTATTACTACACGAGATGAAACTAGTTTTCCTTGAAAGGCACAAGGGATGAACACCTCCTCCGAATGCTTCACGAAGGATGATAAATTCACTTGAATCTTCACAAAGGATGACAGGCTTTACTCAACAACAACAGCAACACTCAATCACACTCCTAGTGAAAGTTCTCGCCTTTACTGACACAAAGTGATTAAAGCCAAAGCATAAGAGTTACACAAATCGTAGGTCACACTTTTCACAGTTTTAGCAAAGAAGTGTGTTTTCGTGTTTTAGAATGAGAGTCTAAAACATCTTTATAAAGACCTCACTCAAGGACACCTCCACAAATTTATTGTCAGCTTTTTCTCGCGTGAGAATTGATTATCCACTTATGGTAATCGATTATGCATTGAATGAATGCACAATGGCCACAAACATGCCTAAAAACTTCAATGGCTAGTCGTGATAATCAATTTTAGTAAGTCACAATCGATTGTGGATAATCGATTATTCCGGAGGCTAAATTAGAGTTTTTAGCATTTTGAAAAATCTCTTTGTGATAATCGATTATCTTGAGTAGCTAATTTATTATTGCAGAGCTTTTTGACTCCAAAACAAATTTTAAAGCATACAATACATGGAATCAACAACAAACAAAGCTCTATACATAAAACTACTTATTAGAAAAAGCTTTAACATATAAATAAGTCTTCATGAAAGTCTTCTTGCAACTTGAGCACTTGAGACTTGATTTGGTCATCATCAAAACTTCTAAGACTTCATGATTTTACTAACAGGCATGTTGTTCCATATCACTTCTCTTCTCATAACACCAACAGTTGCACAAACTAAAAAACACCTCAATCTTCTTCTACATCATGTCCCAAATGTCAAATTTATCATAAAACTGGACATCTAGCACATGACTACTGCTACAGATTCAATTAAGAATTTAATAACAACTCTTAAGTTTTTTCCTCTTTCTCTAGATGATATGTTCTCTACTTTTCCAACATGGTGGAATCGTTGTTTTAACACCCGATTTTAGATGCAACTAGTAAAGTGTTAAACATTCTTAGTGTGGAAATTTGAAATATGATACCATTGAGAAAACTGAAGTAATAAAAACCTTAATTCAAATCAACAAAAACTTATTCCAATATTGAAAACTTCAAAATAATTAATAATGTAAAATTATTTAATCAAAATTAATTGAAAGATACATAAACAATAAAATTTCCCGAAGCACTCTTAAGCCCCTCACACCAAAAAGAAGGGCGTTATCGACGGTCCAAGTCCGTCGGAAACAACCAAAAAGCCGTCGATAATGCCTATTATCGACGACTATGTTTTCGTCGATAAATCCCTTGTCGCTAACAATTACCGACTGCTCTACTCATCAACTGGAACATCTGTAAGAACATCTACTCCTGTATAACAACACTAGTTATACGATCATCACACACACAAACAATAAGGGTGAGTTACTAGAATAACCATCCAATAATATAACATAAATAATAAACACTAGTCGTTATGATAATACTAACAACATAACACACCAAACATGGTCATCTCAAACCATAGGCCACCCCAAAATGTGCCTCAACCAAGCAATTTCAAAACATATGTCACTCTCGTGTACTCTATCGTATAACATGTTCACCAAAATAAGATACATGTTCACCAAAACAAGGTAGTTCGAGTCATCTCTACTGTAGCTTTGGACCTATCTCTGCTGCTACGCATAACAAGCACTATACTCAGCATAAGTGAGACATTCTTACCTTTATATTATCTCGAAAGACGAAACAAATAAGTTTTCTACACACCAAAATTACTGCTAATTTACATTAAAGGATCAAGATAGTTAAAACATAGTTTTTTCTGCAAAATTCCTAAAAATACGACACATGTTATAGTACAAATTACTCAACATACTAGGGTTGTTATGTGGAAACCCAATAAACTCCTTCGTTTAATAACTTACTCCAGTTGTAATAATTATTAACATTGGAGCTTGGGGTTTATGTACCTACCCAAAGCATATTTACGATAAACTTATACTTTTAGCAATCCCAAAAAGGTTTCAATAAGTTAAATATAAGAGTATGTTATCTATATGATATTAACTACCTGAAACAGAGAAAAGATAATATATATGGTATATACGATGTTGTATAGGATTAAAAGAAATCCATTGATAATAAAATAACCCTATATGAGTATGTTATCTATATGATATTAACTACCTGAAATAGAGAAAAGATAATATATATGGTATATACGATGTTGTATAGGATTAAAAGAAATCCATTGATAATAAAATAACCCAATAATACTAGTATATGATATTCAAAGGCAAAAGAAGACTATAAATATATGTCACTTCAAAGAAGAATAATAATCTCATAATTATTTTTATTCACATATACTCACTTAAAGTTTCTTACGGATTTAAATATCAAATAATTTTTACAGATAGATTTTCCTCTTCATATGATTTAGAGTTCATCACTTGTTAGCAACAGGATGAATAACTTATTTATTTTTAATATTATTTTAATTAATGTTCAATAAACCGATGCTAATAAAAATATTTATTTAATGAGAATATTAAAAAATAATTTCATGTTTTTCTAACTTTTTTAAAAAAATAATTAACTAATCTAGAATTAATGCAAAGATTTACTTATTAAAATAACTTAAAAATAATTTTACACTTTTTAATTATTTTTAATAAATGAATATTTTTTTTTCGGATTAGGATGACTAAGTGAATTATAATAGTTTCGCAATTTGAGCAATATTAATATTTGGAAGTTAAATATATATTTTTCATAAAACTAAAAATAGCAAGTAAATGATTATTTTTTCTCAGTCAATGCACAGATTTCTAATCAAAATATTTGATTTTTTTGTCAAAAATATTTGACAAGTCAGACAATATTCACGGGATGAGTTTATTTGTAATTTTTATATATTTTTCTTTTTTATTTCAATAACTTTTTAATATGATAGTCTTAAGTTCCCATAAAAACAATTGTTTTAAACTTCCGAAAATAGAATTTGTCTTTTTAAAAAGAGGAGTGAAAGTATTCTAACTTCATACTGTTGTAGTTCTTCTCTTCCATCAATTTATGACTATGAGAATTAGTGAAAGTATTCTATCTACAAAATTAAAGCTTGCAGTCCTTTTCCGCGGCACTGTATCAAGTCTTTCTGCAAGTCTTCTCGCAGCACTGTGTATAGGTTCCTACTCCACTGCATTGTGACTATAAATACATGACAATACTCTTCACATGAATGCAAAGGGAAAAGTGAATAATTATTAACATGGAAGAAATCCTATGCTGATCATAGAAGAAGACTTTTAGAGTTTGCTAATGGAGATCGCGTCTTCCTCATATTGAATCCTACTACGGGTATTGGAAGAGTCGTTCAGTCTAAGAAGTTGTCTCCTAAGTTCATTGGTTCTTATCAGATTCTGAGACGTATAGGACCAGTTACTTACGAGATAGCCTTGCCTCCTCAACTATCCAACCTTCACTCGGTTTTCCATGTATCACAGCTCAGAAAGTATGTGTCGGATCCTTCTCATGTGTCGGAAGTAGAAGATGTTCAAGTTAGAGAAGACCGTTCGGTTGAGATGCAGCCAATCAACATTGTCGAGAGCCTAACTAAGATACTTAAAGAAAAATCCATCAGTTTAGTTAAGGTTGTATGGGACAAGAGGACAGGTGATTTTACCTGGGAATTGGAAGCTGTCATAAGGGAATTGTATCCTCACCTGTTCTCTGGTAAGTTCAATTTTCAAGGATGAAAATTTTTGTTCTTAAGGAGAATGTAAGGATTTAGAAATTCAGAGAAAGTGGAAAACAAGTGTATGCAGCTGATTCGACCGATCAGTTTTAACGGTAGTATATAAAAGAACTTTTCAAAATTTCATGCAATTCTCTGCATGCACTTCTTCTCTCTAAACTTCTGAGTTTTTCTTTTCTCCTCCTTCTCTCTACAGATTCTCACTTTTTCTTTATCTGATCATCAATCAGGCCGTGCCTGAGCTTTCACGGCGTCAAAAGCTTCATTCTTCATCGATCAAAAGCAATCTTTGAGTTGGTAAGTTCAACTTTTTCTCAGAAATTCTGGTGGTTGTTACATGCAAGCCAAGTATTGAGTTGCATGTGTTCATTAGCTTTCTTTTCTTGTTTCTGACTTCAATTCTAGTCCTATGTTTGGTCTTTTCTCACCAAACGGTGATCTATAGGTGTTCGTAGAATTTCTTTCGGTGCAAGCTTCAAGTTGGAAATTTTGGGGTTTAGCTGTTCAAATTTTCAAAGGTAAGGGAAGCTAAATAATTTAACTTGTATGTTTTTGTGTTTGTAATGAACTGTATGATTGATTGAAATGCATGTTGAATTTCTGGGAGTACTGAACTTTGTGAACTGGACTGGGGAAGTATTATGTAGAAAAGAAAAAAAATGGGGTTCAGTCTGTGTCAAATTGAGGAAGTAAGAGGGTGAAAATGAGAGTTTGAGGTTAGGAGTGAAATTGGGTGGTAAGGTACGTTTGGGCAAGTTTATTTTGACTTGTTAGAAGTTTTAAGATGTGTGAAAAATAAGTAAGAAGTAAGAAAATGGTTTTGTTTGTCAAAAAGGGGCGTAACTCATAATTTTGCAGAAGTTTTGCAGAATTATGCAGAATGCCGAGCTGTTAATGTCGATTATACGGTTTTAGAAGGGTGGGTTTCTTAGTGTTAGCCCTCGGTCTTATACTAGCAGTTGTGCTAGTGTTAGCGCTTGGTCTTATACTAGTAGTTATGGTAGTGGTAGCGCTCGGTCTTATACTAGCAGTTATGCTAGTGTTAGCGCTCGGTCTTATGCTAGTAGTAGCATTTGATCTCTTCTAGTGGTAGGTCTATAATAGTGTTCGGTTATTTCTTCTGTTCTATTTATTATGAACCATTCGGTCATATCTTTTGGGGTGGTGAGAAACTGTTCGGTCTCCAATGTTCACATGGTTTTCAGTATTATGAATGAGTATATAATTGGTGAATGACATGCTATGATAATTGATGAGGATTTATGTTTTCGAGTAATGTGGAAGAGAATTCCAAGGAGGAATGTCTCGTAGATGATATTGGAATTGTAAAGTATGAACGTAGGTGTCGTGCTAAGATGGTGTTTATCCTAATATTCTGTGATTACTTATTCTCAAGTCGAGAGGAGTAACTCATGTGTGAGAATGGCAAGAGACCCTTTAACCTCAGGGTATCAAGGTAATCTTCACTGGACTAACCTTGTGGGGTAGCTTGATGGGGTCTTGTTGTTTCACCACTACAAGTTCAAAAATGCTTGTAGCTACACATTCATACAATCCGGATGGTCAAGTCAAGTGTTCGGTCTATTCATGAATTATGGTGTTCGGTCTATGCATGAGTATAGTATTCGATTTTGGTATGTTGTAGTGTTCGGTATTACATTGTTTGGACTTGTGCGAAATGTATGTATGTGTATACAATTAAATTACATTAGCTTACCCTTATTTCCTGTTTTGTCCATGTTTCTTGTTCGGTTCTTCTTTTGCAATGATCACCCTATGGGTGTGAGCAGTTGGAGAGGAGCTGTTGGAGAGGAGTTCTCGGTGGAGCAGTCCTTGGAAGGAGAGGACCCCTCAGCTTAGTACAAGACCGCTTGGTCTTGTGAATAGTTTTCTATGAGCCGTTCAGTTATAATTCTAACTTGGTAATAACCGTTTGGATTGTGCACATAGTTTTGGAATAGTGTAGGACTTCTGTAAAGTTTTAAACTTTATGGTTATTTTGTAATAACTGTAAGGTTAACTTTATTTTCCAGTAACTGTTTTATCATATTATAAAATGATGACACCTGTATATAGTTTTATACTATATTTTTGGGATGTTACATTAATGGTATCAGAACAGTTCTTTCCTTAGGAATCCTGTAGGTTTTGAGTGTGTCTTTCTTGTGCTTGTGTACTCTTAGCTATGTATAAGTTTTCTATACACCAAAATCACTGCTACTTTACATTAAAGGATCAAGATAGTTAAAACATAGTCTTTTCTACAAAATTCCTATGAATACGACACCTGTTATACTACAAATTACTGAATATACTTAATTTACTTAGGTTAGGTTGTTATGTGGAAACCCAACAATAAACTCCTTTATTTAATAACTTACTTCGATTGTAATAATTATTAACATGGGAGCTTGGGTTTTATGTACCTACCCAAAGCATATTTACGATGAACTTATATTTTTAGCAACCCCTAAAAGGTTTCAATAAGCTAAATATATGAGTATGTGATCTATATGGTATTAACTACCCTGAAATAGAGAAAAGATAATATATATATATATATATATATATATATATGATATATACGATGTTGTATAGGATTAAAAAAAATCCATGGATAATAAAATAACCCAATAGTAGTATATGATATTCAAAGGCCAAAAAAACTATAAATATATCTCACTTCAAGAAGAATAATAATCTCATAATTATTTTTATTCACATATATACTCCCTCTCTTACTAATTTAAACATAAAAGAATTTTTACAGGTAGATTTTCCTTTTCATATGATTCGAAGTTCAATCACTTGTTAGCAACCTGTTCAATAACTTATTTATTTCTAATATTATTTAAATTAATGTTCACTAAACCGATGCTAATAAAAATATTTATTTAATAAGACTATTAAAAAATAATTTCATGTTTTTCTAACTTTTTTTTAAAAATAATTAACTAAT